ACATTTCGATCAATTTGAACCTTAATGACTTTATTAGTCTTTGATAGGTCACCTCAATGTTGTTAAGACCAAATGGCATTACCTGATAATAATAAAAGCATTTTTCATTTATGAAAGCTATTTTCTCTTCATTATCCTTTAATATTTTGATCTGGTTGTAGTCAGAGTAAGCATCCATGAAGTTGAACAAGGCATGCTCGGCACTGTCATCCACTAGTTGATTTTTGCTGAGTAAAGAAAAACTCTATTTTGGGCAAGCTTTGTTGATATCGATAAAGTCTACATGCATTCCCTATTTTTTATTATACTTATTTACCATTACGACATTGGCAATCGAATTGAGGTAATATGCTTCCTTGATAAAACTTGCTTTTAATAGCTTACCGACCTTTTCCTTTTATTGCCTTATGCCCCTTTGTGCAAAAGTTCTCATTTTTTGCTAAATGATTTCATGCTCGGATTAGTGTGTGTGATGGACCATCATTGCGAGGTCTGTCCCAAGCATGTTAAATAAAGTTTAGGCAAATAGGTCAGCATTATTTCTCAGAAGTTGAATTAATTACTTTTTGTGGTCAAGCTTTGCCCTAATTTGCATGCATTTTTCATAATTATTCTCCTAGAATGAAATAGAGATAAGATCATTTGTCAATTTTGGTTGTTGTCATCGACCTTAAGTCTTTAATCGATGATTTTTTTTGCTTAGTTAGGTCAAGATTGTTTCCTGGAAGAAGGATGAATCTTGATGTGATAGTTAGTTGATTTGTTATTAAAATAGCACATTTTTGAAGTGTAGAACTTATCAAAATATAGTTGATGTATTTTTTTAACCAGCTTAAGAGCTTGGATTTGTTGACATGTGTATGTGTAGACTTACGAGCTTGACTTCAATAAATTTATTCAAAAATTCCAAACATTTGTAGTATGTACAAATGTTGAGTTTAAGAGCTTAGAGCTTAGAGCGGCTTAAAAGCATGTTTCTTTTTTTTCTTTGGTTTCATGTTGGTTCTTACCCTGACTTTCTTACTTTAGTTATTCAATCTTTCTAACTTTCACCCCTATTACTTCAACACCCTACGATTAGTTGGCTTTGGCCAAACAATCAATTTGCATCTCAGTCTTACTTTTCATCACTGTCACATAACATTGTCGCATTGTGAATTGGTCTTATCTAACCTCTCTAACCCCATTCGATGTCGAAAACTTGATTTTCAAATGAAAAGTTAAGCTAATCATTTTCATAACAAATTGACTAGGTTAGCCTAAAGTCATGTTATAAGTTGAAGATATTTCCACCACCATAAACACAATAGTCAAAGTGATGCTCTTTGACTCAGTACCTAACAGAATTGATAACTTATTAGTTTATTTAACTAGTACCTACTTATCTTCGAAGCCAATCAGCATGGTGGTATACAATTTCAACATCTCTTCTTTTATGCCCATTCTTAGCATTATGGCATAATATTAGACACCCGTCAAACTCCTACTACTAAATATGATCTTTTTCACCACATGATTATACACAACATGATCATAATGGCTTCATCATGTGAGAATCAGATTTATTTTTATGTCTTTTGAGGTGAAAGAGATCAGCTCATCTTTATAGCTTTTTTTTTTTGGTCGAAGACTCTATTGCCATCATCATTCCCTGATTAAACTTCTTTTTAGCTGAGGCAAAGCTCCCCCTAATTGTCACATTTATAATACCTATAATGGGCCTATTATTTATAGCTAGTCCTTCTTTTCCTACTTATTTCTTAAGTTTTCACCTCATTTATTTCCCTCTTGTCTATTCTTTTGATTGCTTCTTGTCCCTTCTTTCTGATTCTTCCTTTTGAAGTTTGCTTTACCTTGACCTTGTCTTGTTCGATCAATGAACCTATCCAATTGACCTTTTCTAAATAGATTTTTTATTTTATTCTTCAGGTTGATACAATCATTAATGTTGTTCTCTATAGAAAGCACACATCATTATAAGATCTTTTCTGGTGTAATGTTTTAGTGGCTTTGGCCATTTGAGCTTAGGGTCTCTTTCAATGTGCATTAGAATCCTCTCTAAAAAAGTATTCAATGTAGTATAGTTTTTTCATCGGCTTGGGCTTCTGGCCCTTAAGTACCCTGATTTTCTCTATCTTGGGGGAATATAGCTTTTTTTTATTTTTTCTTGGACTTAAGAAGGGGAATGAGCCTTTCTCACCTTAGTTATTTTTTATTATAGTTTCAGTATCGATGTATTTCTCTTGCAATGAATAGCACATAGACCAATTGTTTTGTGGCCCTAGGGAAATGGTAAGTTTGAAATGGTACTCTTTATCACTAAGCCCCCAGGTTAAAGTAGCAATAGCAGCTGTTTGTTCCAAGTCTTTCATTTTAAGGGCTTCTACATTAAAATTCATGACATAATCTTTTAACGACTCATTTCTACCTTAGTAGATAGATATAAGATTAAGTGTAATTTTTTTTGTTTGACGACTACTAACAAATCAAGATAAAAAATAGTGGTTGAGTTGTTTAAACGTGGTTATGGACCTCGATTCTAAATTGCATATTAGGACTAAGCTATCCCTTTAAGCGTAATGGCTAATCATTTGCACATTAAAGCTTCATCGACTCCTTGCATCATCATATTAGTCTAATAAAGCTCTAAATGATCAAAAAGGTTAGTAATACCGTCATATGTCTTCAAAGTTTGTATTTTGAACCATTTTAGGGGCATGGTCCGATTTATTTCCTTAGTGGAGAATGAGAGCTCTAAAAATTTTAGGTCATCCTTGAATGTAGTGGCTTTCCATTCAATTCTTTCTCCATAGCCTACATCTGAGCTTTCAAGTTTTTGTTAGATTGAGGCTTAACAATGATTTGTTTAAACTTTTGGGTGGTGGTCTATGTCATGGTATAAGTGTGGTAATAGCTGGCTAAAGTGATGTGCTCTTTTTATTTTGAAGTTGAAGAAGTTTTAGTGTCATTATAGCTCAATAGCTTTTCTTGGTGTGAATTTATTGGGGTGATTAGATCCAGTGCTTTAAAAGTTTATGGTGGAGTGAGGTTTTGGATCATCTCTTTAAAAGACTATAGTTGTTAGTTTAAGACTAAAAACTACTCTATTATGGGTCTTGCTAGTGCAAATAGGCTCGTAGATTGGCTAGTTTGGGTTTTTATCTCAATTTCAGCAGCTGGTTCTCTTTCTTCAGCAACTCTCTTTTTCGATGGCATAGTGTTTTAGCACAACTAAAGAAATAAATTCCCTTCTTTAGTGCTGCAAATGTTTGTGCCGAACTATCTTCGAGGGGTAAAACCTTAAATTAATAAGAAATAGAAAGAGAGCTGTTAAAGACAAAGACTGGGAGTGGTCCTAACATTTATGCCTTAATGCTTAAGTCAAAAATCAATAGAGGAGGATAATTGGAAGGAGAGTGTAAGGAAAGTGGAAAGAAGCAAAATGGTAAAACGATACCTAGATGGTCCTATTTTTACTTGTAAAGAGGGAGGATATGGACAACATAGGCTACTCGAGCTTAGCCCTAATGCCTATGATGACCTAGTAAACCAAGCTAACCTAGATGTTGATCATCAATTCTAAAGATCACAAGTTAGCATTTGGGCTAACTCGGTAGATTGAAAAAGTGGTCGAGCTGACGCGATCCCAAGAAATCAAGTCAGTTTGACATGTTAGCTCAACTCAAAAGTTAAAAAAAATGCCTTTAACTATCCACTGACAGTCTCTAATAGAAAAAAAAGTATATTTTACCCTTTAAACTTAAAAATACTCCCTTTTGTTGTATTGTATAACCATACCATGTTTTGGAAAAGGGAGTTAGCATTTCTAAGGATTTTGATTGCAAAATGGCTAGAAAAGATTGATTTGAGTTTAAGTCGTTTTATTATTAGAAATTGTCGAAAGAAAAAAAAAAAACAGTAGATCACTTCAAGCTAATGGGATTTTGTATGTTGGTTCCTGAAAATTAAATATTAATCTTGTTATTCCTTCTATTTTTTATTGATAATTTTTAGCTTGATTTGTGAAATGCCATGTTATCCTTTTGAAAAGTACTAGTGTGTTAATAATTTGATTGTTTGATTAATTATAAAAAAAAATATATATTCCCTCTGCTCAATTAAATTGTGGCAATAAATTTTGTTAATTTTTTTAAACTTTAAATGCTATTATTTTAAATATTTTAATAAATTAAATTTTATAAAACATATATTTAAAAACTATTTCATTTGAAATTTTTAAAATTTTTTTTATATGTTTTTCAATAATAAATATAAAATAATAGGTAGTCAAAATTTAAAATTTTGGGCAAAAAAATTTAAAATATGATAATATAATTGAGACATATTGAGTATAAATTATTATTTATTATATCATTTGTGAATAGTATTCAACATTTAAAAATCAAACAAAATATCTTTTTTAATTAAATTAGTCTTTTGTTTTAAAGATAAGACGGTCAGTAGTGAGTATAATAATTATATCATTATTAATTATTTAAAATTTAAAGTTACATAAAATTTATCAAAATATTATATAAGATTTATATTGATGGATTATAATGTAATTTTTTATTATAATTAAATAATTATATGACTATAATAAAAAAAATTGCAAGATTCTCTCACAAGCATTAGCTTGTTATCAAAACAATAATATGGAATGTGAAGAGAAAATCGGAAGAAAAAGTTAATGATGAGATCATAATTAAATTCCGACATTTGTCCGTCATTACGTACTGGATGACGGAATTTCACCTTTAAGTTTTTCTTTGGGCACACGTTTCTCTAAACAAAAAATTCAAATGTTAAGTCGGCTTTGATTTATTCCAGGGATTGAGCAATATTTTTTGTAATTTTCTTCGATTTTCTTCCATTTTCAACGCAAAGCTTACGTATGCAAGAAAGCAAGAACAATCTGAAACCGTCGTAGTTTAATAAAATAGAAGTATGCTTTTTTCTTTTCCGTCCCTCGTGGCGTAATATTGAAATTTCCTTGTAATATAAATGCGGCCGGTTAGGTGAATATTTGAAAGAAACACAAAACTCGATCGTTAGAAAAAAAAAAGTCAAAAAAAAGAAGCTTCTATCTTATGAATTTAATCAATGTCTCTCTCCCCTTGCTTTATATCAATTTATTTCAACCTCAATATCTAGAAAACAAAAAAAGGGTACACAGTCCCTTCGGCAAATTCTGTTAAATTTTCTCAAAGGTTTTACATAGTTTGTTCTCTTTATCTCTTGAATTGAATTCATCATCAATGACGGACCAACAGAAAATCCATCCCGTCCCAGATGTTGAAGCATCGCCACAAACGTCCCCAACTGCTCCCTTGATGGTTCAGAGCTCTTCAAAATCCGACAGGGGTAACCCTGTCGAGGAATATCCACCTCCCCATCGCAATTTTCCTGTTGTGCACTCGAAAACTCCTAAGAAAAGAAGTTGTTGCTGCAGGTGCTTGTGTTGGACAGTGTCTCTACTCTTGCTGCTAATCGTTATTCTGGGGATAATTGTTGGCATCTTATTCCTTGTTTTCCGACCAAAGCTACCAAAATATTCTATCGACAGTTTGGAGATAACCCAATTCAATCTTAGTTCTGTCGATTCTAGCTTATCGGCTACCTTTGATGTTACTATTACTGCAAGAAATCCCAACAAAAGAATCGGCATATATTACGAAGGTGGTAGCCGTTTAACCGTCTGGTACACTGAAACAAAACTATGTGAAGGGTCGATACCAAAATTCTACCAAGGTCATCGGAACACAACCATGCTGGTTTTGCCTTTGTCAGGACAAATCCAGAACGGTACTGGCTTGCTCACGACGCTGCAACAACAGCAGCAGGAAACAGGAAACATTCCTTTGAGACTGAGGGTCAAACAGCCTGTGAGGATTAAGCTCGGGAAGTTAAAGCTCATGAAAATGAAGTTCTCGGTTAGGTGCAGGCTAGTGGTGGACGCTTTATCTGCTAACAACGCCATCAGTATTCAGAGTAGTAGCTGCAAGTTTAGGCTTAGGCTGTAGTACTCTAATTTCTAACCGCTGGAGCTATATTACTTAATTCATACTTTTATATTTTATTTATTTATTCTCTTTAATGTTCCATAAAATTGGAGGATTTTTATGGGGTTTTGTCCTCCATACTTTGGTTTATTGGTATCTGTGTAATTCGCATTCTATTTATTTCAAGACATATATTATTACAATAGTATTATTGTTCTTTTTTTAAATGATTACCGTCTAATACAAAAGTATTAATAGGCCCAATCTGAACCAAGTTCATATTTAATATTATAATTTATATGATTGTTCAATTCATTCAAAATTTTAAGTTTTAAAATTTTTTAAAATTTAATTTAAATTAAAAAAAATAAATTATAAATTTATCTATTAAACTTAATTTATGTAATAAAAATTTAAAAAATATAATTAAATTAAATTAATGAGAGTATATTTAATTCACATGTCTATAAAAATAAAAAATTATATATATAAATTTTTAAAAAAATTATTAAAAATAACAATTAATTTAATAAAATATATATAAGTTTTATTTTTAATTTATATATATGTGAATTAATTTATATATAATTCATATATATACAATTAAAATATATATATATATGTGAATTCAGATCAGAACGAGTTAAATTTAGGCTTTAAATATTTTGTCTAAAGTTTCAATCTAAAATTTAAACGAATCTAAAAGTTATACCCAAACTTGCTTAATGGGTTTTAATTTTTACTCAAATCCTTTCAATACTTAGAATAAAATTTCAAGTTAACGAATAACTCGACCCTTAAACAAGTTTAATACAATATAACAAAATGCAATTATAGTCCAATATCCCTCTCTCTTTTTTACCGATTATTTCAAAACTTTAATCTTAAAGGAAAAAACCCAATCATTATATTTAAGTTTAAGACACCTAAATTTGCATGCGAATCCAAATATGAAAAGAAAGTGCAAGTTGAACAAAATTAAAAAAGCATTGCACAGCCCAATAAGTAACATGAAATTAATGAGTTAAGGAATTGGATTGCGTTTTCTAGGATCTGATCAGTAAGTTTCATTTTGGCTTTTGTGTTGATGGGGTGTAGAGTTGATGATCAAAGTATCGGATTAATCGAGCTTCAAACCGATCAGATGTAGGATAAGTTCAGGTATATGCAGGAACTTTAGGCTATTCTCATTTGATTTGTAGCAAAACTTGGAAAGACTTTTGCTCCTAAATTCTTTTCTTCTCCCCATTAGAATTCAGTACGTACTCCATTAAGTCACAGTCTGTAATGACCAATTAAGCAAGCTTTTCAATATTGAATATTAATGCCAAAAAGCTGTTCTTTCCTTGCATAAACAGATGTTATAGAATGATATCTTTTATTCTTCATTTATTGTTGGTTGCTTGTGTATTAGAAATTCTCAAGTTTAAGCAAGGCAAAGAAGAGATCCCGTTGCTTGAAGGAAGCCAATTAAGTAACTCTATTTGAACAAGCACAAGCTGGATAATTATGAAAGAATGAGTCACAAAAAGTAGGGAGAGGCTTGAATAAAATTATGCCAAGATCAGAAAGTGCTCCTGGGCCGATCCTAAATGGGATTCTTCAAAACCAAAGACGGAGTGGGCTTTGACCGGTTCAATCCCATTGTTCTTTTGGAATATAATCTTTAGTTAAAAGAATATTAAATACTAATATTTAAATTTTAATATTTTTGAATATATTAATATATAATTATTTTAAATTATTTTGATTATATAATTAACTAGATTATATTAATTTTAAAGTATAATTATTATATAGGATTTATAATATTTAATAATTTTATTAACACTAGTAAATAGTATTATATTTAGTTATATATTATTATAATAATCAGTTCCATTACTTAATCATAAAACTATTAATAATTAAACAAGTTTATTAATATTCACTAATTAAATCTATTATAGTTGATAATAATAGTTTTATTATTAACAAAATAATAACTTATCTAATTAGATTAATTATAATAATATAGGTATAAATTTTATACCAAATTATTTCCAATATTAATAAGTTGGAAATAATATCAACAATTCCAGTAAATATTTTAAAATTTATATGAATTGTAATATAAATATTTTTTGTATTAATAAATTATAATAATTATAATTTAAATAATTATAAATATATTATATATTATAAATCTAAAAAAATGATAACAACAAAATATTTGATAAAATAATTAAAATTTTAGCTTACTCTTAAGAGAATAAGGATTTAAATCTTGTCATTTACCAAAAATATTCAAAGATTAAAAATGAAATTTGCCTCTTATCACTCATAAAAAAATTTTAAAGATTAAACTTTATTTCTCATTAATTCAACCTCATTATCGAAATTGAATGGGTTTCTGTTCAATATAAATATTGGTCATTATAGGCCTATCCTTTAACAAATAGGAACAAAATCTTTAAACCTAATTAAGATAAGTCCTCAAGTAACATTGACTAACAACATGAGGTTAACAACTTCGTTTGGACTTTTCATCTCGATTCGGTTATGAACCTAACTAAAAACATATTAGTCGCTTCGAAAATCTAGGTCTCATCCATAACGTGTTTCTCTTATTCCTATAAAAAAATGTTTTCTTAGGTTTTATTAAGAACTTAATTTATATGAATAAAGATCACTATTTTATATAAACATTTATAGTTATTGCTATCAATTGATAAATAAAAAAATACAAAATTGAGGGGAAATGGGGAGAAAAAAATAAAATTGAGTAATTTCATCATGACCAATTAATATACACAAATGGAATAAAAGGTAGATTGAATAGATTCATTTGAGGGTTGATCCAAAACCTAATCCAGTCCAAATTGATCCAATTAATAAAAATCAGAGACAAAACCAAGTAAAGTAGGACATAACCCAAAGGTTTGAAACTTTGAGTTAGTTCTCGGGTTTATCCCAATCAAGTTGCTGTCATCTTAAGTATGCAACCATGGCTTTGCAAATAACAGATATTTATTTTTTACTTTTAAACTTGAATTATTTACATCAAATATCATTATTTTGTCTCCTCATGGATTTAGATCATTTAGTATATTCCCACGTATAAAACTAGATTCAATCCCAATCGATCTTTTAGGAGGCGTTTGGTTAAAAAAAATCTACATATTTTTCCTCAAAATCTTATTATTGAGTATTTGATTTCAGCATTTGATTCAAAAATATCCACATATTTTTTCTCGAAATCTTACCATTGAGTATTTGATTCTAACGTTTGGCTCAAGGTAATCTGATTTCAGGAGCAATTGACATATTTCCAATAGTACTCAAAGTTCTGAAATCAAAAACTCACTTCTCCTTATGGTATTCTAGGATTTAAAAAGGGAAAAAGTAGAGTTATTTCTAAATTTGGCATGACTTAAAAATTGTGAAATAGCTGTTACTATTTTGATATTTAAAATGAATGCAAGTCAGTTGTAGGTTTCTGCTGAAAAAAAAATTTGGTTTATATATAGCGTTTGGCATAAAAACACCTTCAATAATCCCTTACAAAAAAAATGAATGGGGTTATTCAATGCATTTTGGCCAAAAACGCCTTGAATAATCCTTAAAAATTTTTATGAGGGATTATTCAAGCGTTTTTGGTAAAAAAAAAATGCTTGAATAATTCTCTGCCATTTTTTTTTTGAATTATTCAAGCCATTTTCAGCCAGAAATGCCTTCAATAATCCTTTACAAAAAAATTGAATGAGATTATTTAATGCATTTCTAGCTAAAAACACAATCAATAATCCTCTTCAAAATTTATGAGGTGATTATTCAAGATATTTTTTCTTAAAAATGCCTTGAATAATTTTCTTTAATTTTTTATTAGGGATTACTCAAGGCATTTTTGTTTAATAAATGACTTGAATAATCCCTTACGAAAAATTGAATGGGGTTATTCAAGGCATTTCTAGCTAAAAGCGCCTTCAATAATCCCTTTCAATTTTTTGAAATGATTATTCCAGCCATTTTTTTGGCAAAAAATGCATCGAATAATCTCCTCTAATTTTTTATTAGGGATTATTCAAGGCATTTTTTTTTCTAGAAAATGCTTTGAATAATCCCTTACAAAAATTGAATAGAGGTTATTCTAGATGTTTCTAGCTAGAAACGTCTTAAATGACCATTATTTAAAAACAATTCTTTTTAAGTTTATAGATCAGAATGTTATAACATGATCTTTCTTTAGATACACCTATAAATAAATGATTAAGGTGTTTGTATGGAAAAATACCTTTATTGGTTATCAATTGAGGCGTTTCTTCCTACAACGGCCTTAATTGTCCCATATTAAAATTTTATCTCACTTGATGAGCATATTTTGACAATATGAATGTTCTAACGTCTAATCATGAAGCAGAAGAGAATATAACTATCAAATATGACGTTTCTATATATGGAATGCCTTATTCCATATCTTCTTCATGTTTCAATTACAAATAAAATTGAAATTATATTTCAACAAATCTCAGCTCATAGCACTTACTTTTCTCTTTGAAAAAATTTTAGCTTCCTCGTCCATCATTTAATCTTTGTCATATTAAGTTTATCATTGGATTTTACGTAAAACGATGCATATACTTTTTGATTAATAGTGTGTAATCCATGTTGCCTTCCAATGAACTTATTTTTCATTTTTTAGATGTCGTTTAGATTTGGATTAAAGGCATTTATGATATATATTATATGTTTTATGGTTAAATTATTTTGGCTCTTTCCAATGTTCCAAAGTTTTGTTTGTAATTTATATTTTATTTGATGATGTGGGAGGATTCCATCCACCATATGCCAAGATTTGCTTTCTATTATGTTTTCAACTTTAATGATATTCTTTCTTCTAAACAGTTATGGCTAGTTTTTCACTAAGGAATATGTGATTGGTTATATTGCTTATGATGCAATTGAACTAGATGGAGACTTTGTTGCATTTGTTATGTTTTATTATTGTAACTTTATTAAATATTAATGGAAAAAAATGATGTAGACTATCTTATGGTGGAACATCTTATGATAAGCTATGTATTAGAAAGTTAAACTTAAACGCAATGGTCTTTGAGAGCGATATATAGAGTATAGATCATATTAGAATGGACAGGAGAGCTTTTGCAAAATTATGTCATTTGGTTAAAACAAAAAGGCGTTATAGTCATCTAAACATATGTCAATA